ATGGCACAGTCTTGGCTCCCCGCAACCTCTGCCTCCCGGGTTCAAGCGATTCTCCTGTCTCAGGCTCCTGAGTAGCTGGGATCACAGGCATGAGCCACCACACCTGACTGATTTTTTGTATTTTTACAAAAAATGGGGTTTCTCCATGTTGGTGAGGCTGGTTTTGAACTCCCAACCTCAGGTGATCTGCCTACCTCGGCCTCCCAAAGTACTGGGGTTATAGGCATGAGCCACTGTGCCCAGCCCACCAGTGCCTTTAGACATATCTGTGGACACTTAGAGTTCTCCATGCTTTGACTCCTAGATAGCTCTCATGGCCCTTTATACTCCACACTCCATATTCTTGACTGCACAGCTTGAGGTTCCCTAAATAGTTATTTCCAGCTATCTTGACATCTGTGCTTGATTTACAATACCTATAGTATTTATAATACTGTATTATACTTATTTGTTTACTTATCTGTCTCCTATTCTAAACTACAGACCTCTTAGAAATAAAGACTATGTTTATGCTTATATCCCCAATACCTAGGGTTGTCTCTGCCACATGGTAGGCACACAAAAAAAAGTCTGTTGTATGATGAGTGGGTGCAGGCATGATTTAAGTGAGGGAAGCCATCCTGCCTCACAAAATAACATGCTTGTTTTCTGTAGGAGAAAGTATCCCAGTCACCAAAACTCCGTTACCCAAGATGGAGAGCTCTGTGCCCTGGAAAACACAGAGTGAAGCGGATTACAAACGGCATGTCCTCTTCTGTGGAACAGAGGTTATCCAGGCCAAGGCAGCTTGCTCTGGGACCGTGAGAGCAGTGGTACTGCAGACCGGTTAGCATCACCTCCTTTTTCTTATTTTTAATGATATATTTTTGCTCAGTTTGTCTAGTGCCTTAAATTTATTAGGTGAAGAGAAGCTGTTTTTTCTTTATAATCATAGTTTTTTTAATTTTTAATTTTTGTGGGTATATAGTAGCTGTATATATACTTATGGGATTATCTGAGCTGTTTTGACACAGGCCTGCAATGTGAAATAAGCACATCATGGAGAATGGGGTATCTCTTCCCTCAAGCATTTGTCGTTTGAGTTACAAACAATCCAATTACACTTTTTAAGTTATTTAAAAATATACAACTAAGTTATTATTGACTATAGTCACCCTTTGTACTATCAAATAGCAGGCCTTACTCATTTTTTCCATTTTTTTTTGTACCCATAGATAAGGAGAAGTCTTACCTATAGGTACAAAACACACCAAATATATATAAATCCATATGTTTTAAATACCAATTGAACTATGGCATATGCCTGTTAGTAAAAATGATAGTACTGATAACACTAATTATTATTTATGTGCTTTGCAGCATATAAACTCTTTCCACCATATCAAACAAGCAGAGCAGAGATGCTTACTGCTTCTACCATGCCTATGAATAGGCTGAGGCCACACAATTCAATGAACTTTTAAAAATACCATGGCCAGCAGTTGACGAAGCTGCACCTAGAACCCAGGTCTTCTAATCCTGAATCCCAAGTTCTTTCTAGGGTGGGCTAGAAACTGCAAATGTAACATTGCAAAGTATTAGAAAAGTGAGTCCATCAGTATTTACTGGACCACTTAATTTTAATTCAAGTGACATGCGCGTGCATGCACACGTTTGAGTCATTTTCTTAAAATAAAATTCTATTTGGCAAAGCTGTGCTGTGCACCCAGTACGGGGCTTTCCTATCTCCGGGATGCATTGAAATTGGAAGTAGAGGAAAGGAAGGCCAAAGAGAGTACCGGGCTCTGAGATAGAGATTTCCGTTCTAGCATTTATGGATTTTTCTAGCTATCTTTCAATTGCCTTTGAGCTTAAACACTGTTCAAATATCAGTAGAGAAACAAAAGCAGTGCTGAGGTTTGGAGGAGCACTAACAGGAGGCCACTACTGTCGGTCTCCTGAGAGTGTGCGGTGTGCGTTTGTTGTTCCAGGATTCAACACTGCAAAGGGAGACCTTGTGAGATCCATTCTCTACCCCAAGCCAATGAATTTCAAGTTGTACAGGGATGCCATCAGGTTCCTCCTGTGCCTTGTAGGAACAGCCACTGTTGGGATGATCTATACTCTGTGTGTCTATGTGCTCAGTGGGGTAAGCTGTCTTTACTCTTTTATTAAATGTGTACATACTCATCTATATATATTTCGTACTGTACATGTTGGCTTTAATCTAGGATGTGGTTTACAAACCTGGGAAACAAAGCCAAGCCCTGAAACCTGTGTGTGGACTTCCAGATCCCAATCAGCAACTGATCACTAAGTCCATAGTAACAGACAGACTTCATGGGATAGTGGGATAAAACTATTTATTGATTGGTATATCAATGTATTTCTCTTTTCCTCACACTTTATACTATTTTTCCTTTTCAATCTGAGAATATATTTTCAATAAAGTAGCATTTTTATAGCTATCGAACGAGGGATTTTAAATAAAATCAGACACCCAGTTTTCGTGAGGTTATGGCAGACTAGTACGTTATTCTTTGCTGGTAAAAATATAAATCACATTTGTTTTTATTGCTATTTGGCGAAAGATAGAGCTATAAACATGGTCATGCCTTTAACCCACTGATATCATTTCTTGAAATTTGACCTAAAGAAGTAAACAAAAAGAAGGAAGGCTGGGCACAGTGGCTCACGCCTGTAATCCCGCACTTTGGGAGGCCAAGGCAGGTGGATCACCTGAGGTCAGGAGTTTGAGACCAGCCTGGCCAACATGGCGAAACCCCGTCTCTACTAAAACTACAAAAATTAGCCAGGCATGGTGGCGGGTGCCTGTAATCCCAGCTACTCGGGAGGCTGAGGCAGAAAAATCGCTTGAACCCGGGAGGTGGAGGTTGCAGTGAGCCGAGATCACATCACTGCACTCCAGCCTGGGTAACAAGAGTGAAGCTCTGTCTCCCAAAAAAAAAAAAAAAAACAAAAAAAACAAAAAGGCAAAGTCATATGCTGTTCATCAGTGATTTGTCTGTAATAATTAAAGAGTGACTGTCGTCCAGGAACCTCCAGAGGAGGTGATGAGAAAAGCCCTTGACGTCATCACAATTGCGGTTCCTCCTGCTCTGCCTGCTGCTCTGACCACAGGCATTATCTATGCCCAGAGGAGGCTGAAGAAGAGCGGCATCTTCTGCATCAGCCCCCAGAGGATCAATGTGTGTGGACAGTTAAACCTGGTCTGCTTTGACAAGGTATGTGTGTTTCATCCTTATTGTTATCATCAGTTTTTACCATTGCTGTCATCGTGTGTATCTACTTTTACCCTCTTGCAAGGCAGGAGACATAGAATGTGGGTGGCTGTCTTCATTTTATCCCTGGTTAGATGCGTGATCTGGCAAAGATACGTCTCTTGAGCTCACAGAGTCCAAGGTTTAGAGAAGAAGTGGGTGCTAAATAGGAGAATCTTTTTGGGTCCTTCCAACTTCAGTATCCTATGACAAGCAATTAAAATAGCATCCCTTTTCTCTGCAGTCAAAACCTTCATACAAAGAACAAAATTTAAACCCTTTACTCTCGTCACTGCTGTATCGTTGATGCTAAGAATATTGCCTGGCAGAGAGTTAGTGTGCAATAGAGATTGATTGAATTAATGAACAAATAAAAAAGGAAGAGTTTATTAAACTGTGCCTTACTATGAGACTCATATCAAACTTTGGCTGTATTTTCCCATCTGTAGTTTATTGTCTAAAACTACCCTTGATTATTTGCCAGTCATTCTCAACCAGCCTCTTATTCTACCGTCTCTTTATTGTATTTATTTAGTCTGTACACACATATGCTGGGGTGAAGGTGGGAGTTGTGAGAGAATAAGATGGAAATGCCTTTCAGGGCATTGTGAACAGATGAGCATGGGTAGAGGCATGGAGGCAGGAAAGCAAGAGAGTGTGGTTTTGACTAGAGCAGGCTGTTGGTAATGGGAGAGGCTATCTGTGGACCTTGAATGTCTGGCTTAGAAAGTGTTTACATATATTTTAAGCAGTGGAGAGTTATTGAAGGCTTTTGTTGCTGTTGTTGACTTCTTTTTTAAAGTTACTTTTTAAATGTGGTAAAATACATATAACATAAAATTTATTTTAGCCGTTTTTCAGTGTACTGTTCACTGGCATTAAGTACCTTCTCACTGTTCTGCAGCCATCACTACTATTCATTTTGGGGACTTCTTTTATTTTCCCAAACTGAAATGATATTCATTCAGCAGTATACCGAAGGTTTCGATAGTTGAGAATTAATGGGATCAGGGCTGTATTTTATAATTATTGGAATATCAGAAAGATCTACCAAGAACAGAAAGTCAACATAACTCTTACTACCATTTTAATATTATTTTGTGATCAAACTGGCAACGTAAGAAATGACATTCTATTTATGAGATTATATCCTTGGACTTGGAAAAAGAAACAGGAGTGGGAGAGATAATTGTGACCTGAATTTGTGTAAAAAATGAGCAATAATTATGAGTAATTATGATTATTATTAGCTTTTACTGTATGCTAGATGTTAAATGAAACACTTTATGTTATCCCATTTAATCTTCACCACAACTCTCTGAGATTATGACCATGTTACGAATAAGAGCTCTTATATTTAGAGGGATTAATTTGCTCTGGTCATACAACTGGTGTTTAAACCTAACCTGAATTCTTAACCATTATATTGCACTGAGAGAAATACCAACCCTTTTTTTTTTTTTTTACCAAATAGCAAACCATTTCTTTCAAGTCTTTTCACACACAGTGCCCTGTAGGGAAAAATTCCACTCTATTCCTTATTTTAATGGCATATTTTAAACTTCTGCTATGAAACTAGGACTCACGCATTTTATATCGAGGACTTTCCCATCCATTTGGCTACCATTAGATCCTCAAAACAATCCTCTGAAGTTGTGAGGAAGATACTTTTCTTGTCGTTGTTATGGAGGACACTAAAGTTGGAAAAGATTAAGTTCCAGCTTGTTAGACAACTGGCATAAGCTCATCACGCTTCCAACGGGCACTCCAGAGACCCCCTCATGGTGCCCCTCCTTGAAGTTTTGATCTTGTTAATATGTTTGTGAAGCATTTTCTCATTACAGAAATCCCTTATTTATCTGCACTATGGAGTCTTCACTATGGGGACCCTGGATTTTTTTTTTTTTTTTTTTTTAAAGTAGGGAGGTGATTTCGTTGTGTTGTTTGGGCTGGTCTCCAACTCCTGAGTTCAAGTGATTCTCCTGTCTCAGCCTCCCGTAGTGCTGGGATTACAGGCATGAACCACCGTGCCTTGCCTGGATCTTCAGAGTAAATGCAGCATTTGTTTCTGTTTAGACAGGCACCTTAACAAGGGATGGCTTGGACCTCTGGGGAGTCGTGTCCTGTGATAGGAATGGGTGAGTACCTTGGACTAAATGCATTCTAGTGTCTCTTTTCCCAGAATTCTGTGTTTTCTCTTGAAATTACTAATGGAGACATTTGGACTTTGGCTTTGGTGAACAATGATTGCCAAAGTATCTTCTTTTAACTTCTCATCTTTTGCCAAAGTATCTTCTTTTAACTTCTCATCTTGAATTCTTCAAAGCCTCACTAAAGCATACCCATTTTCCCCCATCCCAATGCAGTCCCATGCCAGTCACAAATCCGGGAGATGAAGCTTTGACACTGCATCCAAATCCTTGCTAAAATATAATTTGCTTCCAGCATGAAGTTGACGCAGTGTAAGTAATTTAGACATTACCAGGACACTGTCCTTTAGGGAGGTAACATTCTTGATTCAAGCTGAAGCCTCTTGATGTGCTAGGAGGAAGAACACTGCTCTGACTTTTGTACCCTGAACTTCAGGAAGGGAAGAGGAACATTTGTAGAACCATAGCTAGTGTACTCATTTTTCTTGGTATTCCAGTTTTAAGAACTCTACTTTCTGGCTGCTGGAAACTCCTTTTTCTTTTTCTTTCTTTTCTTTCTTTTTTGAGAGGGAGTTTTGCTCTTGTCGCCCAGGCTGGAGTACAGTGGCATGATCTTGGCTCATTGCAACCTCCGCCTCCTGGGTTCAAGTAATTCTCCTGCCTCAGTCTCCCGAGTAGCTGGAATTACAGGTGCCTGCCACCATGCCTGGCTAATTTTTGTATTTTTAGTAGGGATGGGGTTTCCCCATGTTGGCCAGGCTGGTCTCAAACTCCTGACCTCAGATGATTCTCCCACCTCGGCCTCCTGAAGTGTTGGGATTACAGGTGTGAGCCACTGCGCCGGGCTGAAACTCCTTCTTCCTAGCAAGTGAAGACAGTTTTGGCAGTTCTCAGCATGGTGCGTTAAAGATTTGCACAGCCCTCTCCTGTGGCCCTCTTGTGGCCATGTTTGAGTTTGCATCTCTCCCTGCTTTTTCTACTCACTAGGAACTCCTGGGGAATCGGAACATGAAATCTCTGATGCACTTGACATTTATGTTTCGTTTGAAAATGAAAGTTTTCTCCTGTAACACTTGTACCTTAAATCACAAAGCATTTTGTGCATGAAATGTTCATGGTGGTTCTTTGGCATTATAGAGATGACGTGTAATTTATCCATAAAATATGCTAATTACACATAGTTTAATACTTGTCGTATTAAAATACCATTTAGAAACAAGTCTAATTCCTGGATTAAAAAAGTGATCCTTGTGCTTCTAACCACTTTAGTGTACAGAAGAAGCCTCTTAAAGTGTTAAACTCTAAAGTTCTTTTCATTTTTCCTAGAGGGTAGATTTAGATATATACTTCGTCTCATGGTTCATTAGTGTTTTTCTGTTTCAGCTTCTACAAAATATGTGTACATTTATTCAAATATGTGTGCATCTTAAGAGCAGTCTTGTTCTTATTTAGATTTGCATCTCTAGTGCTGTAGCTCTGTGCCAGGCACAGATAGTAGGTGCACAGTAATTGCTCATCTAAAATGAACTCAATATGTTCTGTCTTTTGAATGTTCCACTTATTGAATTGACACCATATTATTCATAAAACTTTGGAAACTTTCTGTTTCTAAAAGTGACTTGTTACATTGAAGTAATGACAATTGATATGTTATTGATAACATATCAGGGAGGGTAAATGATCCCTCCCTCCCTCCCCTTCCTCTCTCCCTCCCTTTCCTCCCTCCCTCCCTCCCTCCCTTCCTTCCTTCCTTCCTTTTTTCCTGCCTGCCTGCCTGCCTGCAGATCAAAGTTGAAGTCCAATGATTAAAACAACAAATTAAAATAAAAAATGGCAAATTTAATTAATAAAATGAAACAAAACAGAATTAATTCTAGGTAAGAAGTGAGCACCTGACTTAGAGGCTATTAAATGTCTTCTCGTTAAACGTGAGCTCATCTCTGATATTTCTTCTTTTCCAAAAAGCCCTGATTGTTGTGCCAGATACTTTAAGAACTATTAAAGGCTATCAGGGATTGATAACCAGAAATACTCAGATAAAAATGCACCGACAGGATTGATAGAGAGCTTTATGTATTTGCTGTGCTAACCAGAGTCTGGCCCAATCCTCTGGAATGCAGAAATTTATACTCAGGATTACAGACTAGTGACAGTGTACGTCTCATAGTAAAAATAAGATTTTTTTTTCCGATCTGTATTTTGCTTTTCAGTGTGAGTTTAAGTTTCTGTGTTAACTATACTGCTGGTGGTCTCTTCCTTTTAGATATTTACTAAAATACCATCGGGTATGCGGTAAACCCACCAAGATGAGTTGCTCTCTTAACACATAATAATGAATATAACTAACAGGGTCAATACAAAGCCAGGACATTTTTGAACTCTTAGTGTGACAAAAGGAAACTTGAATGCAAAAGTCAGGAAGCCATGTGGCTGAATTGTGAGTTAACATTGCGATATGTTTGCTTTCAAAGCAAAGGGCTAGAGCAATTTAAGGTTATCTTTAAATAAATGCAGGGTCCATATTATCAGAAGTAATTGTCTGTCTTGAAATGTGGTCTCCAGGATCAGACAATGACAAATAGGAACTTTTCCAAAAAAGAAGAATAAGGAAAGTGAGAGGGAGGCCTGATAAAACTGTTATTAGGGGAACAGCTAGAGGTTCCTGTGCAACACCAGAGGGAGGGAGGTGAAGGGGAACGGCAGAGTTGATCCGTAAGTTTGAAAGAAGTTGGCATGTGGAGGAGCGGGAGCAAGTGAACTCTCACTGGCTGCCAGGAGCAGATTTTGCCCCCACGTAGGATGAAGCTTCCACCATTCAGACGTCCTTCAAACGGCATAAGCTGCTTTGAGAACCAACATCTGTGCTGCACATTTGAGAAGGGGCTGTGACTAACCAAGCTGCAGGCGACTTTCTTCTTGTGATGCCAGAGCTGAACTTAATGGCCCCCACTCTGAATCAGTGAAGGCACCCTGCCTGTAACATTTGAGTTGTATTTTAATAGCTTTTTAGATGAGACTCTGTTCTCATCTTAAATGAAATGGTGGGGATAATGGTTGGGATAGGGACACAAGAGGCCAGGGTGAAAGAGGGGGATGCAGTGTTCTTTGGAAAAATGTTTTTAGCCAGGCACGGTGGCTCACACCTGTAATCCCAGCACTTTGGGAGGCCGAGGCGGGTGGGTTACCTGAGGTCGGGAGTTCAAGACCAGCCTGGCCAACATGGTGAAACCCCATCTATTCTGAAAATACAAAAAATTAGCTTGGCATGTTGGTGGCTGTCTGTAATTCCAGCTACTCAGGAGGCTGAGGCAGGAGAATCGCTTGAACCTGGGAAGCAGAGGTTGCAGTGAATCGAGATCACGCTACTGCCCCCCAGCCTCGATGATAGAGTGAGACCCTGTATCCGAAAAAAAAAAAAAAAAAACGAACAAAATAAAACCTCAGAGACCTTTCTCATACTCAGTGAACTTACTTGGCTGAATGAAGCAATTAATGTGGGAGGATTGGAGAGTGGCTATTAATGCAACAAAGCATATTAAATTATGTTTCATAAAGATGTTTGTTCACCTCCAAGATGCTCTGTTTTGGCATGAGGAGATAGAATGGAAACCCATTTCTTTTTCTCCTTAAGCTTTCAGGAAGTTCACAGCTTTGCCTCAGGCCAGGCTTTGCCATGGAGCCCACTGTGTGCGGCGATGGCCAGCTGCCACTCTCTGATCCTTCTTGATGGGACCATCCAGGGAGACCCTCTGGACCTCAAAATGTTTGAAGCCACCACCTGGGTAAGCCTCTGCTCTTCAGAGAACCTGAGAAGCTTCTTCAATGCCAGAGCAACATAGGCAATATCAGAGCTATGTAATTCTTATAAAAGGTGAGGTGTCCAATGTGGAGTACATTTGGTAGTGAAGGGCAAACTCATCTAAGCCTGGTTTCTTCATCTGTGCAATGAAGCTAATAATAGCATCTACATAATGAGACTATTGTGAGGATTAAATGAGTTGATGCATTAAAAAAATCCTTGGTGCTGTGCCTGGCAAATATTAAAGGTTCAATCATATTAATAGAATTGTCATTATTATGTAATTATTTCTCATCTCTCTGTACTGTTCTCTGAGCATTGTCTGGTTTCAAAGATTTTCCAGAATATGGGAATCAGAAAACATTGCTTTCTCCAGCGCTCAGGATAACTCATAGACTCATGGTGACTATAAGTCTTACTTCTATTAATTTAGTATTGATTTTATTTTCAAGACTAGAAACAATAAAAAGGAAAACCACTAAAGAGCTTTTGCTGAGACTCTAAACTAGATTTAAGAGCCAACGTGTAGTTCAGGAATCTGGCTTTTCTGATTCTAGTTTTGGCTCTGCTCTAACTGACTGCTGAATCCTGTTAAGCTGTCTCTCATGTTGGCGCCTTGGCTCTCATGACCATAAAATGAATTAGACCAGTGGTGTTCACATAACACAAAACAAGACAAACAATCTGGAATCTTTTCGTAAAAGGAAACATTCTCCAGAAACACTGTAAAGACTGAATAGCTGGAGTCACTCCAGATGAAGTAAAAGGTGGGGTCTAAAGATGAGGATTAAGGGACATGCAGCCCCGACTACTTAGCCAGAATCCCTTCCTTTCTCCCTGCGCTACATGTAGCTGTCGCCTCTGGTGGCACACTGGGAGCACCACTGAAAGAGACAATCTTCAGGGTCCCTTCCAAATCTCCTGGAGCATTATTTCATAGCAATCTGATGTAACTTTGCCAAGCCTCCATCTTTTCTGGGTTACCGATTCCATATCTTTAAATAGGGATTGCAGTTTCCCCTCTGGGACCTTGTCAGCCACTCAATGAGATGATTACAAAGCACTGCGTTGTCTTTGGGCAAAAGGCCCCTTTGACTATAATTTAGGGTCGTTATTATAGCAATTACTGATTATTAACCATGTATATCACAGTCTCTGCCCTGCCCTACCCCAGCCCTGAGGACCATCCATCCAAATTATTCAGACATGCAAGGGCAGGAAGAGCCGTGAAGTGCAGGAAAAGAACAACAGAAGGTGCTTGCTTCACACAAAAGAAGTCTGGCCTTTCATGTTCATGACTTTCAAGCTGGGCTCTTTAGAAATGGAGAACGAGCCTTTACACAGCGCATTCCAACAGAGAAAACAAGACAAATTGCATGAATAATTCAAAAGTGTCTGCCCTTCAAGTTGTGCAGCATTTTCAGTGCATTATTATTATTATTATTTTTGTGTGTGGCAGAATAAATCTGGTTCACCTCTGAGGGAAGAGACACGGAAAACACATTGAGGTGGTCTGAGGGTTTTCTCAAGGGGAGGGTTCAAACATCGTATCAGTGGGCAAACAGTAAATGTGTCTCTGCAATGAAATATCCTATTTGTGAAATAGGAAATGGCTTTTTCTGGGGACGATTTCCACATCAAGGGAGTGCCGGCACATGCCATGGTGGTTAAGCCCTGCAGAACAGCCAGCCAGGTAAGCCCTGCTTGCTCTTCACCCCACAACACCCAAACTCAAAGAGAAACTCTCTTCGGGCCCCCAGGTTTTGAAAGGTCACAGATATGTCTTTGAATTTCAGGTGTGAAAATGGGTGAGACCTTCCCCCTTATTTATTAAAATAAAGATTACGGAAGGAGTGGTTAATTCCCAGTAGCCAGAAGCTATATCAGCAGGTTCCTCTCCTTTCCCCATCCCTCAACCAGGTCCCAGTGGAAGGAATCGCAATCCTGCATCAGTTCCCATTCTCATCAGCTCTGCAAAGAATGACAGTCATTGTCCAAGAGATGGGAGGTGACCGACTGGCATTCATGAAAGGTGCACCAGAGAGGGTGGCCAGCTTTTGCCAACCTGAGACAGGTCTGTAACTTGACTTGGATTACACCTGGCAAATCTGTATCTCCAGATAAATATGTTCCCACAGCGTTTGATCTATTAATCCAATTGCCTATGGGTCATCACCAATTGGGTGGCTCACTGGCATTCCAAATGCAATATGAAAGCCAAGCTTGTCTTTCTCATTTCCTGTATTCCCCAGTTTCCTATTTGGTGCATGATACCACCATCCCCCGCCCCCACCCCGTTTAGGTATCATCCCTGATTTCTTGCTCCCACTTAGTGCCTCTGTCTTGTCAGTTGCTAATCCATGGTCCTTCACTGCATCTGCTCATGCCTTCATCATTCTTGATCACTTCAATAGTTGGTGGATTGACCGTCTGCCGCCAGTCTCCCCAACTCTGATTTGCCCTCTGTACTGTGACCAGACTCTTTACCTCACGATTCTTTTAGTTGCTCTCATAGGCTCCAGGATAATCTCAAATTTCTTTAGGATCACATGTAAGGCTTTCAGGTTTGAACTCCCAGTGAACTTTCCAGATGGACCTTACCACTCCTCATCCTGTGCTTTTCCTGAGCTGAACTAATCTTCACAGCTTACTCTCATGCCTCCATGACTAAGCTCATGATTCTCCCTCAGCCCCAGAATCCTGCCTTTACTGAACCACCTCCTCCCAGGCTGGTATATACACCACCAGACGCTTGCCACAGCATGCTGCAATGGCCTGGATGATAGCAATGATCTCATTTGATTGCATTGTTACTCTGCTGGCTGTAACTCAATTAGACAGAAATCCTTAGAGCAGAACTTTCGAGTTTTTTTCAGTTTCATTCATTTTTTTAGCCTATATTTTAAGTTCAGTGGTACATGTGCAGGTTTGTTACATAGGTAAACTTGAGTCATGGGGGTTTCTTGTACAGATTAATTCATTGTCCAGGTATTAAGCCTAGTACGCATTAGTTATTTTTCCTGATCCTCTCCCTCTTCCCACCCTCCCCCGAAATAGGCCCCAGTATGTGTCGTTCCCCCCTATATGCCCATGTGTTCTCATTATTTAACTCCCACATATAAGTTTGGTTTTCTGTTCCTATGTTAGCTTGCTAAGGATAATGGCCTCCGGCTCCATCCAGGTCCCTGCAAAGGATGTGATCTCATTCTTTTTTATGGCTGCATAGTATTCCATCATGTATATATACCACATTTTCTATATCCAGTTTACCATTGATGGGCATTTAGGTTGATTCCATGTCTTTGGTATTGTGAATAGTGCTGCAATAAACATATATATGCATGTGCATCTTTATTAATAGAATGATTTACCTGCCTTTGGCTATATACCCAGTAATGGGATTGCTGGGCCAAATGGTATCTCTGTCTTTAGGACTTTGAGGTGTCACTGTATTGTCTTCCACAGTGGTTCAACTAATTTACACTCCCACCACCAGTGTATAAGCACTTCTTTCTCTCCACAACCTCACTAGCATCTGCTGTTTTTTGACTTTTTAATAATCACCATTCTGACTGGTGTGAGATGGTATCTCATTGTGGTTTTGATTTGCGTTTCTTTAATGATCAGTGATGTTGAGCTTTTTTCTTTTCACATGATTGTTGGTCTCATGTATGTCTTCTTTTGAAAAGTGTTAATGTCCTTTGTCCACTTTTTAATAAGGATTTTTTGGGGTTTTTTTGTCTTACAAATTTTCTTTAAGTTTCTTATAGATGCTGGATATTAGACCTTTGTTGGATACATAGTTTGCAAAAATTTTCTCCTGTTCTGTAGGTTGTATGTTTACTCTGTTGACAGTTTCTTTTGCTATGCAGAAGCTCTTTAGTTTAATTCAATCCCATTTGTCAATTTTTGCTTTTGTTGCAATTGTTTTTGGCATCTTTGTCATGAAATCTTTGCCCGTGCCTATATCCAGAATGGTATTGCCTAGGCTGTCTTCCAGGCTTTTATAGTTTTAGGTTTTAAAAGTCTTTAATCCAGGTTGAGTTAATTTTTGTATATGGTGTAAGGAAGGGGTCCAGTTTCAATCTTCTGCATATGGCTAGCCAGTTATTCCAGGACCATTTATCGAATAGGGAAGACTTTCCCCATGCTTGTTTTTGTCAGGTTTGTCAAACATCCGGTAGTTGTAGATGTGAAGTCTTATTTCTGGGTGCAGAGTTTGTGATTTAATCTCTGCACAGCCAATGCCTGGCAGATAGTAGATTTTCAATAAATGTTTGTTGGTTAAACTGAAGAAAAAAGAATTCTACACTTTTTCTATCTTTTTTTCTTTTTTCAAATGCTTCATTCTCATTTTAGCTTCACTACGTCTGAAGAGGTCAACCCCGACAACGTAGTTGTGTTCAGAATTTTCACTGACTTGTTCACATATCTTTGTAGAGGTGTGCTTTCTTGGGCAAAAGTTGGATGTTTGTGAAGAATTTCCTTGACAGTACTGCCTCAGTAAATACTGCATACTAACCCTGTGTTTCTTTCTAAACAGTACCCACTAGTTTTGTTAGTGAGCTTCAGATTTACACGACACAGGGCTTTCGAGTCATAGCACTGGCCTACAAGAAGCTGGAAAATGACCACCACACCACCGCCTTGACGAGGTAAATGGGGATGATTTTGATAAAGCAGAAAGGTTTGATGGAAAGATGTGCCAGGTTGGAATGGCAAGTGCATTAGACTGGGATGGACTCAGGGGTTCTGGGTGGTGGACAGAGCAATATAGCTTGCTGAATTTGTGTGCATAACATGTCTCTGAACACTGGTAAGTAGAGATATAGTAATCCCTGCCCTGCCTAAATCCCACAGATAATGTGAACACTCACTGGGGGATTTTATGAGAAATAGTCATATAAGATGTATAATATGATGTGATTTTTACAGCTTTGTGAAAACAGACATAGGAATATGATCAGCATTTCAGAATTTGAAATTGTGGTCATGTCCCCATTTAAAAAAACTATAGTTGGTGGATTGGTTGGGAGTTATGAAACATAACATTTACCTGAAAAAATGTTTGATAGGAAATACACAGCTTAATGAAACAAATAAATACAGCTTAGACGATATAATCCTGGTAACATCTACAAAAAAACAAGGAAAATTTCCATACTAGAGACAGATTTTAGCCTATAGATTCAATTTTACATTTTAAGGTTAAAATAGAGATGCTTAACAGCTCAAAAACAGCAGGATTTATAAGTTCAATTTTATTTTTTTAAATTCCACTCTTTTCAGGTATCATGTTTATTTCACCTTTCATATCATTTCTAAAACTTAATGTCAGCCACCACTGCTTATGCTGTTGTGGAGCTAATCCAGGCTCATTTTTAAATTTAGGATTATACATTTGGAAAGTCTAACCTATTTGTTTCAATCTAATCAAAGTCAATACTCTCTTGTAACTATATTTTTTAACTCTTAATATTCTAAAATAAAGTTCACATATATCTGCACATATTCTTTGTAAAAATATATAATGACCTATTATACAGTAAAAATAAAAGCAAAACATATAATGTTTCACAAAGGTGATAGTTTAATAAATATTCAGCTGACTCCACTAACACAAAATGAAGTAATAAGTTGCTTGTACCTGTGTATAGAATAATTGAGGCTGCAACATCTACAAATACAGACTGATACAGGTGTGTTATGTATTGCAGACTCAGATACCTCAGTCTTGCTGCCATTGAGATGACTGTGAAGTGGTTAACAAGTCTTGGTAAAACTCTGAAGAAAACAGTACAGTCTCCTCCCAATTTACATAGTACAGGTAGTTACATTTCTGCAAAATTCAACAAAATATTATAAGTGTGAAAAATACTTTGTGTTTATATGTAACACATATAAACTAGGGGGAAAAGCTAGGGAAATTTTAATAAACAATTTTGTAATTGCTTAATATAACATAGTAATATTATATATGCCATAATAGTACAGTATATTATAGTATAATAATAGTAAAATATATACAAGATAAGCCTAAAATGACTTAGGAAAGTACAATAATTTTTCAGTGTCCATGAGTGTCCAGTAAGATATTCAAAAGGCATGTGGGATGCGGGATAATTATTCATTGTGCATTGATCTTTTCAGAGTCTTGGGTAGATGCCAAAAAAAAAAAAAAAAAAAAAATTCCACAATGTCCTCTAGAGGGAGTGCTGTCCCTGCTGAGAATGACTGCTGTGCCCCAACCCCTCTCACTTTGTGAATGGGTAAAATCAGGCCCAGAGTGGGAAGTGGCTCATTGTGTTCGTTTCCTGGGCTTGTGGAACCGCTCTTCCCGCGGGGCCAGTTTAATGTGACCCCTGAAACTTTGGCTGCAACAACTCTGCATATTTGTTGCAATTTGATCAACTCAGTTCAAGGTCATTCAAGTGAGGGAGCTAAAAGTAAACTTTGAGATTGGATATCACATTTTGAAGGAGAGAAAACTTGGGTCCAGGGAAGGGAAGGGACAGAGCAGAATTGGGAATTGAACTTAGTTTCCTGAGAGGCTGTTGCCAAGGGCTATGGTAAGAGTCTGGCTACCATGCTGCTGCTTCTGATTGTTATGATACGATATTTTCATATTTACAAGTTGCAAACTCATGGTTTTGAAACGCATGCACGTAACAAAGCACTTATTGTGGAGACAGATGAGCAACGGGGAATAGTGAGGGCTGTGGCACACAGGAGAGTACATGTCCCAGTTAAAGGTACTGAAATTCTGACTTTTTAAATTCTTATATGGTCTAAACACAAATCACAAATTCTCTAATAGAATTTGATCTTAGGTCATCAATTTGCCTCTCCTGTCGTAAAGCACATCACTACCATGTATACATATAGCCAAATTAATTTTTTTTTTTTTTTTTTTGAGACAGAGTCTCACTCTATTGCCTAGACTGGAGTGCAGCGGCATGATCTCGGCTCACTGCAACCTCTGCCTCCCGGGTTCAGGCGATTCTCCTGCCCCAGCCTCCTGAGTAGCTGGGATTACAGGTGTCCACTACCATGGCTAGCTAATTTTTGTTTTTTAGTAGAGATGGGGTTTCACCATGTTGGCCAGGCTGCTCTCAAACTCCCAACCTCAAGTAATCCACCTGCTTTGGCCTCCCAAAGTGTTGGGATTACAGGCGTGAGCCACCATGCCCAGCCACATAGCTAAATTAATTTAATTATTCTTTGCAAATTCCTGATTAGGATGGAAGATTCTTGCTGTTGTTTTGTGTGTGTGTGTGTGTGAGTGTGTGTGTGGTTACTTAGGGTACTTCCAGCATTGGTATCATAATCTCTTCAAAGGTTATTGGCCTACTTTATGCAATGTCATTTTTTAAAAATCACATGGATTTTAAGAACATGAAATGTAATCGCAGGGGTGACAATGCTTTGTATATATTACACTTATTCTTTATTATTTTTGGATACTTTAGGAGGAGGCATAATGTCTGTGCAGGAAGCTGGAAGAGATGGAATGCCATTCCAAGTTGCAAAGCTTAAGACCCCTTAAGGAATTACTCCTTTTAATTTTTTTTTATTCAGATTAAATGCTTATGAAAGGAAAACTCATGTAATGTTAGAACTAGCAGATACTTTGGAGGTGCAAAGATGAACCTGATTACCAGGCAAAGAAAGTAATTTAGTCATGCTCCCACAGCAAGGCAGTGGTAGAGGGCTGACATTAGAACTCCAGTCTCCTGATCATTGTGCCTTGAACCATGCAAAGGCCATAAGCCAGAGGAGCTAGAAATACTAATGCCAAGGTAGGCCATAGGCTATGGCAGATGTTTGACCCCGCAGCCATTTTCTTGGCCTAATCTGGCACTTTGTGGTAGGCTCAGGTCATGTCATCCCGCAGAAATAACCAAGACCTGGGACCTGAGTACCAGGATCATGAGAAAGATTGGAAGACCTGTTGTGCCAAACCCCCATTCACTTCAGTAGGGACGGCACCAGGTTCAAGAGGTTGAAGAAGAGACCCAGAGCCAGCAAATGAGACATGGAGTTTTATTAGGGGCTCACCTACAGGGGAGAGAGTCCAGTAACAGCGGGCTGGACAGGAGAACCACCTTACATATGGAAACAGTCCAGTGGCAGCAAAGTGGACAACGTATCTGCCTTCCTATACTCCAGTGGTGGTGAGCTGTGCAGGAAAACCACCTCTGCCTGCAAACATCATGCAGTTTACATAGCGTTCTCACTTGACTCCTTAATGACCTCCACCTAGCAACCTTCATCCAACTCACATCTCAGGGCCTCAGCTCCCTGTATGGCCTGGCATATGTTCCACTAGACGGGACGGGGGCTCAGAAGTTCCTCAGAGACAAGGAACAAATCTCTGGGTTGGCCATGGCCAGATTTCCTAGCTTGAAACATACATTTAGGTGCATCTGCCATAGAGGGTCATTCTAAGGGTATGTTTAAGTAGTTACTGCTACCACGTGCATTTACCCTGTAAGACCTCAATCAGGCATCAACCAAGTTATCTTTCAAACACCAGATTAAATATCATCTTCTACAGGAAGCCTCTCCAATACTCCACCCAGAAATGATTGCACCCTCCTCTCTGACTCTATGGGACTCTGATTTGGACATCTGTTACCATACTTTTCCCAGCCTTCCACTCAACTGAGATGAGCCATGTCTAAATTCTACCTCCCAGTTGGATGTAAAATCTGGAGTGAGAGGCTACTATAGTCTCTGCTACTGCAGTCTCTGCATATTCTGTTCCACTTTTCCTCAGTGCTGTTCCTTGAACTCAGCAGAATTTCTGGATGAGGAATTTCCATAGGTTACCTGGCAAAAAATGGTCCCAACAGGCCTCAGAGCATTTCAACTAGGTACACATTTGCTGAGCACTTGCACGTGGGTGGTGTTGAACACACTGAGTCACGTGGTATTGTTCTCAAGGAACTGAGACAGTGTGACAAAGCAGACGGCCAAGAATAAAACATGGGCAAATAAAATGTGAGTTACACTGAAATACAAGTAATATGCCAAGGGAGCAATTATTATTATTATTATTATTATTATTATTATTATTATTATTTCGAGACAGGGTTTCGTTCTTATTGCCCAGGCTGAAGTGTAATGGCATGATCTTGGCTCACTGCAACCTCCACTTCCTGGATTCAAGTGATTCTCCTGCCTCAGCCTCCCGAGTAGCTGGGATTACAGGCACCTGGCACCATGCCGGCTAATTTTGTATTTTTAGTAGAGACAGGGCTTCTCCATGTTGGTCAGGCTGGTCTCGAACTCCTGACCTCAGATGATCCACCCGCCTCGGCCTCCCAAAGTGCTGGGATTACAGGCATGAGCCACTGCGCCTGGCCGGGAGCAATGATTTCTATCTGAGGAAGCCTTTGTCGGGGACGTGGCATGAGGCTCTGAACATCAGGAGGGTTTCAGTAGCAGATCATGGGGAAATTACAACCTTTTCTATGAAATAAAGACACATGTCTTACAGCAGTCTAAAGCAAGTGTCTAGAGATGGTTGAGAGAAAACCCATGGCTAGTGGTTCAGCTTGGCTGGAAATGAGGGTGGGTGAGGAATTTAGTGATGGCTGAAGCTAGAAAGATAGTTTGGAACCAGATCGTAGAGAGATTTAAATGACAGGTTCAGAAAATGGGAAATGCCATCCTTTCAAGCCTGCTCTGAGGTGAGTCGTTCAGACTGCGTCCACTTCCCGTTTCTCCGTGGAGGCTTTAGCAGTTTCCTGGGAGCACCACTAATGCTAGTTCATGACCGTAGCTGATGTGAGACCCCCTACGGAGACAGGCAAGGAGTCTGAGTGGGTGCCACTTTCATCTGTGTTTCAGCCAGAGTTAGACAGTGCTGGTGTCTTGTTCTCTATCTGTGTCTAAGATAAATAAATCATGGAAGAATCTTTGAACTCCTGTTCTCAAATGGATTCCCTTGCACTCAGTTCTGTAGAATACCCCTGAAAATATTTGTGGGGCGGATAGGAGCCTTGAAGACTGCACCTATTTGCAGAAACATTCACGCTTGATGCAGAAGATCATTGCTACCAGCTAGGGGAGAAAGAAAGGGATGAGCTTGACCTGAAGAGAGAGGCCTGTTTGTTGAGATTATGACCTCATATCTCCTGGGGCTAAAATAATATTGATTATAGACTTGGCTGCTGGAGAAACTGGCATTTTATTTTATTTTTCTTTGTGCCTCCCTTATTTTTCATGCTTTGTGCCACAGCTAAAGCTCCCCTTTGTGGGTAACAGGTGAGGCAGTGAAAATCAGACTAGCCACAACAGATGGAGGAGACCCTTACGGGCTTTCAGCTCATTTTCTGCAAAGGTTAAAGCAAAGCTTTTGCTTAACAAACACTCTCTTCCTCTTCCTCTTCATTCAGTTAGAGTAAACGTCTCCAGAGCCTTTGTGTCCGCTCCTGTCCTCTTTCTGGATCACTCCTGGTCCCTAATCAGCACCTAACAGTGCTTGAATGAGTGAATGGAACACTACGACAGAGGTCTTTTTCTTTTTGTTTTACTTCCTGTAGGAAAGCTATCATGTGGCTGGGTGCAGTGGCTCACACCTGTAATTCCAGCACTTTGGGAGGCCAAGGCCTTGAATTCAGGAGTTCAAGACCAGCCTGACCAACATGGTGAAACCCTGTCTCTATTAAAAATACAAAAATTAGCCGGGCGTGGTGGTGGGCACCTATAATCCCAGCTACTTGGGAAGCTGAGGCAGGAGAATCACTTGAACCACTGTCCTCCAGCCTCGATGACAGAGCGAGACTCTGTCTCAAAAAAAAAAAAAAAAAAGCTACAATGTGTGTTATTTCTGTTCCATACATCTATATATGTATTTTCAGGGAGACGGTCGAATCAGACCTGATATTTCTGGGGCTGCTGATCTTGGAGAATCGATTGAAGGAAGAGACAAAACCTGTCTTGGAAGAGCTCATCTCAGCCCAGATAAGGACTGTAATGATCACAGGTATAAAACAAAGTATATGGTGAAAACAGTAAGAATTTGATGTGGAAATAGACACGATTCACTCATTTAATAAATATTGTTGACGACCTACTCTGGGCCAGACACCATTCCAGGTGCTGGAGATGGGCAACAAAAAGACACAATTACTGCTTTCCCAGAGTTTCCATGTCAGTGGAATGAGAGAAAATCAACCAACCAGTCAAATAGTATCAGCGTTTTGAGGTACACAAATAGGATAATGCGGGAAAGTGTGTTGGACCATCTGTTTGAGATGAGTTGGTTAAGAGAGGCCTCTCTGAGAAGTGACATTTGAAATAAGACCTGAATGACAAGAAGACATGAGCCAGGCAAAGGTGATTTTTATTGCCAAATGCTAGAAGCAGCAGCATCCTCAGTTGATGGGGTCTATAAATATGCTGAAGGCTCATCAATCATAAAATCCACGATTCTAGAAATTAAAGAAAATGCTGTCCTCTGTAGTCCCAATCCCAGCTCCAGATCATACAAACAAGATAGCAATGAGAATCAATCACACAAGAGAAATGTGTGAAATTTCTTAATGAAATCAAGTGTGACTTTATTAATGAAATTTCATGCTGATGCTATAATTTTTTAATTGGGAAAGAGACTAGAGGTGAAGAAATGATTTCCTAATGAATTCACGTTCATATTTTTGCAGTGTGTTGCCTTTCTTCTGCCTGCTCTTATAGTCAGATGCTTTTAACTCTATCATTTATGTCTCGAAGATACATTATTTCCCCATCAAAGCACGCACTTTCTGTTCCCACTTCCCCTGAACCCAATTCTATAGCTGCAAACTCTGGAATACTTTTATTTCCTCTTTTGTACTTCTCTGTCCCCTGTTCTACTCCCCACAATCCAAGAGTGTCTTGGACTGTTTTTACTTTCTCCTTTTCTAACAACCCAGTCCAACTTTTTGAAGTTGCTGAGTTCATTTACTATTGATGAGGATTTCCCTTACACTGTGACCCTTCTGTTTCAAAAATCTTTATTTAGCACTTAGATGACACATTCTCATAATCTATCCTTAACTTAGATTTCTGTACAAGTGTTCATCCTTCTCCACCCTCTCTCTTTACTTCCTCTTTTCTCATATTGAAATTTCTGCTCTATTTCTTTCCTTGCTTGTTTACAATTGTTTTCCCTCAAATATTGCCCTTGGATGGAATGGAGGGGTGCTCTTTGATTTCTTACACATGCTTGAATATCTTTCATTGCTCTGACACGTGAATGACATCTTGCTCGGATAAAAGATTCCTGAATTATTGTTCTTTTTGCTTAATGATCTGTATGTAGAGGCTATTCCTTTGCCTTCTGGCTTCTGATACTGCTCATGACAAGTCCAGTGAGAGTCCATTGTAAGTAACTTATTCTTTTCTGCACATAAACTTTTTAACTTTGGAATTTAGAAATGTTTGCCTTTGTGTTTCCCTTGTTTCATTAACTTAGTCTGGAACATGGACAGCACTTTTAGAAAAACTTTTATTTATTTTATTTTTTACCATTTTTGACATCTTTATTATTAAGTCATAATATCTGTCACTTTGAATGTTATACATATGATAAAACAGATTATGAAAAGTATTATATTCCTAGCAAGAGCATTGGTTTATATAACTGAATCACCAAATACACAACCCCTTGTGACAATAACTTAATGGACTCAACTCTATCCTCTGAATGGACCAATTTTATGATGATTCGTTCACTTAAAAAGTTTTGAGTTGATGAGAGTTTCTTGTTGCTTCTTTCTGTGACCCAAGGCTTTCAAATCAATCTCTGGAAACCAATGATTAGAACCAGAGTTCCCCAGAATTAAGAAGAGATAGGAGTGGGAGAAACATGGAGAGCACCTTTTAATCTTTCTTCCTGCGAGAAAAAATTTTCCTATTGTTTATTTAATTTTTGCCTCTGGTCTCTGTCCATTTTTACTTCTGGAATTTCCATTGTTATCTCTCCTCTCAGTCTGTCCGTTTTTCTTGTAGTTGTCTTATTTATTTATTTATTTATTTATTTATTTATTTTTTAGAGACAGAGTCTTGCTCTGTTGCCCAGGCTACAATGCAGTGGCAGGATCATAGCTCACTTCAGCCTTGAACTCCTGGGCTCAAGCGATCCTCCTGCCTAAGCCTCCTCAGTAACTGGGACTGCAGGCATGCACCACTGTTCCTTGCTTTAGATTATATAGTTTTATAATTTTGCTTTAAGACTTTTTTTTTTTTGCACCCAGTTTGTTCAAACCACAATCTCAGGTCTCAACAATGCTCTTTATCTTTTTCAAATCCCCTTTTGAATTGTTCAGTTCTTAATCATGTGTGGGGTGGGATTTGAGTTTTCTTAAGTGCTCTCCTTATTTATTTTTTATTTTTATTTATTTTTTGAGATGGAGTCTCGCTCTGTCACCAGGCTGGAGTGCAGTGACATGATCTTGGCTCACTGCAACCTCCGCCTCCTGGGTTCAAGTGATTCTCCTGCCTCTGCCTCCCAAGCAGCTGGGACTACAGGTGTGCACCACCATGCCCAGCTAATTTTTGTATTTTTAGTAGAGACGAGGTTTCACCATGTTGGCCAGGATAGTCTCAAACTCCTGACCTCAGGTGATCCTACTGCCTTGGCCTCCCAAAGTGCTAGGATTATAGGCATGAGCCACTGCACCCGGCCAGTGCTTTATTTATTTATTTATTTTTTATATACATATTTTTGAGATGGAGTGTCACCCTGTCACTAGGGCTGGAGTGCAGTGGTGCGTTCTTGGCTCACTGCAACCTCTGCCTCCCTGGTTCAAGGGATTCTCCTGCCTCAGTCTCCCAAGTAGCTGGGATTACAGGCACGCACCGCCACGCCTGGCTAATTTTTATATTTTTAGTAGAGACAGGGTTTCACCATGTTGGCCAGGACGGTCTCGATCTTGTGATCTGCCTACCTCGGCCTCCCAACGTGCTGAGATTACAGGTGTGAGCTACCGCGCTTGGCCAGTGCACATGACTTCTCTAGTCATGTGCTCTGATTGTTCTTCCTGATCTTTTCCTATCCAGTGTCTCGGCTTGGAAAGGTTGTTAGATTTTTCTGTCAGATGCTTGGAGTTGAGGCCTGGGCTGTTTATCCCGAGAACTGGATCTCTTACAGGTGGTAGATCTCTCACAGGTGGTGGAGGGCAAAAAGCAGACAGGCTGTCAGGGGCCTGCTGTGGAGCATGAAGGAAACCTGTGAGCACTCAAGGCTCCCTGTATCCTTCCAGCCTCAGGCAGCTCCTTCCCACTACTTCAGCTCTTTTGAGGATCTTCATGCATATTTTGGTAGAAACCTGGGAGAAGCTATGTTAAGGATAGCCAGCCAGATATTATATGATTAATTTTTTAATGGTTGCTGTAGGCATCACAACGTACATACCTCTCCTTTCAAGAAGCCTTATAATCAGGAATGTCTCTTGCTTTCTCTTCTTTATGTTATTATTGTCATAAGTATGACATATGTCGAAAACCCCCACCAGATAATGTGATAGTCGTTACTTTCAACAGTGAAGAGTTAAGGAACGTGAGTAAAGAAAATTAGGCTTTTATAATTACCCAGATCGTTATCATTTCTATGTTTTCATTCCTTAAGTTGTAAGTTAACCTCTGGTATCATTTCCTTTCATTTCAACCTAAAGAACCCTGTAGCTTTTGTTGTTGTTGTTTATTTTTTGAGCATGTCCACTGTCAACAAATTATCTTCATTTTCCTTCATCTGATAAAGTCTTTATCTCTCCTTTATTCCTGAAGGATATTTTCAGCAGCTATTATAGGAGTCAGAATTGACACTTCAAAGTGAAAGATGAAGTCAGCACTTCAAAGATGTTCCACTATTTTCTTCCCTGCGTATTTTTTATGAGAAATCTGTGATAATTTGAATTATTGTTTTCTTATGTGTAATGTGGTTTTCTCTAACTGCTTTTTTTGTTTATCTTTGATTTTTAGCAGTTTGATTACTATGTGTCTGGTTGTGATTCTCACTAAGTTTGTCTTGTTTGGAATTCACTGAACTTCTTGAATCTGTATATTTAGGTCTTTTATCATACTTGGGAAAATTTCTCCTACGATTTTGTCAATTTTTTTTCTTTTTCAACTTTTTTCCTCATCTTCTTGGACTCTAATGACGTGAGTATGAATTATTTGGATATCTTTGAGTCTGTTCACGAAAATGATTTTTTTCTCTCTGCTCTTCAGGTTGTGTAATTTCCATTGATCTATTCTGCTATTGAATACATTCAGTGATTTTTTTTTTTAAATTTCAGGTATTATATTTTTTAATTCTAAAGTATCCATTTGGTTTTTTCCCACAGTTTATATTTTCTTGTTGAGAACTTCTAGCTTTCATTTCAAGAATATTAACAGTTACCACATGAAGGGGTCTTACAATAGCTGCTTTAAAAACCATTATCTGACACTTCCAACATCTAGACTATCTATAGATTGGCAACTGTTGTGGCTTTTCTTGAGAATTGGCCAGATTTTCCAGATTTTTCATATTGAATATCCCAAACATTTTGAGTATTATGTTGTGAAACTTTGAGTCCTGTTAAAATCTTCTGGAGAATGTTGAGGGTTTTCTTGTTTGTCTGGCTAACAATCAACTGTAAGTTCTGTCTTTCCTGTTGTAGGTGGCAGTTTCAATCTTAGCTTAAATATAAAATCTTTTGCTGTGATGTTTGGGTCTGCCTCACTCAGAGGTTACTCTCACAAATGGGGGGTGATTTATATCATAGTTCAATTCCTGGAATTTTCATTATCTTTCTTTGGATCTGGTCCACACATGCACAGCTCTAGACTGAACTTGGGACTTATGTAATTCACATACTGAATTAGTCCCCATGTCTGGCTCTCTCCTTTCCAGGATTCCGCCCATGCCCTTTAGCCTACAAGAGTCCCTTTTCCTGGCTCTTCTGGCCAGAAAGACTGGGCATCTTTTAGAGTTCTGCTGCCCAAACAGCTTTTTAACTGAGGCCCACGCGCCAGTCAAATATGGAATAGGGAAGAGAAAAAAAGTCGAGAAACTCATCCCCTTGTAGGTTGCTTCTGCAAATTTGACTGCCTTCCACCATCTGCCTGCTTTTGTTTACTTTTCAAAGTCCTTGGGGAGTTGCTTCTTGGTTTTTGTTCAGAGTTTTCCATTGTAATCAGTGGGCGAGATAGATCGTAGTGGGCTTACTCCATTTTGTCTGGAAGTGGAGCCACCAGATACTCTACTAAACCAGAGGATTTGCCTAAACATTTGCAAAGCTGCTAACAAATGACGAAAATAGATTTGAATTTTGCTTTTTTATTTTTTCCCCCAGTCTGGCAAAAATACACTGGTGGATCATGAAGTAACCTGATGAAAAGCAGTAAGAAGGGGAAAAGGGATCATGGAGTCACAGAAGGTCAGGGCTGAAAAAGATATTAGAGATCATTTCTCTTCATACCTGAAATAAGGACTGAACTCCCTGCTCTGATTTTCAAGGCTCTGCATAAATTAATTCAATCTCATCAATCTCATCTTGAGATACTCCTCCTTTCCTCTAGGTGACAATCTTCAGACTGCAATAACAGTGGCCAGAAAATCTGGAATGGTTTCTGAAAACCAGAAAGTCATTCTCATTGAGGCAAATGAAACCAACGGGTCCTCATCAGCATCTATATCTTGGACATTAGTAGAAGAGAAGAAACACATTACGTATGGGAATCAGGTACTCCTGAACACAGACATTCTGCTACATTACCAACATGTCTTGCAGTGTTGATGACTGAACAGCTTTGACTGAGAGTCAACATATGCTTCCAAATGTCTAGCATTCATGCTGTTGAATGAACTCAATTACATTGGTTTTTCCATACTTTTCATACTGAGCTTGAAGGTGTAGTGCTTTCTTGTGTGCTGGAAATAATCCATCTTTTAAACTTAAAAAAAATGGTGGGCCCTGTATGAGACAGAATATAGTGAGTGGAGCTGAATCTATTTTCTCCCTTTCCCTTTGCTTGTCAGTCACCCCACTGGGTTCAAAGGGGATCTAGTCTTTGGGAGAGATGCTGCTGTGTGTCTCAGAAAATCAGACTATGTTTTCAGAAAAAAGTTTCATTCATTTATCTCCAGCCTTGTCAGTATTCTGTCTCCATTGTGTCCTTGTAGAACAATATTAGTTCCCTAAGGAAAAAAAAATAGTAAGTTCTCATTTCAGGGAGAAATTTGTTAAGCTGCAGTGCTTTTGTATTTTACACTTGGAATGTGTGAAATGTGCTCTTCTCTGGGACTCACCAAGATCAAATCACGATGAAAACAGGACATGAGTAAGTGTTATGCTCCTATTCACTAGTTGTCTGTGATGTGCAAAGATTGATCCAGCAAAGAGAAACTGCTTCTCTGAGGACTCAGAGTGACTTTTACAGATAGATCCCGGTCTGTCTTCGTTATCTTCTCTCAGATATGCTTGTGGTTCTAACCACTCTGTCAAATGAAAGAGTCTAAGATCACTGTGTCTTGCTTCGTAGGACAATTACATTAACATCAGGGATGAAGTCTCTGATAATGGCAGAGAAGGAAGTTACCATTTTGCCCTGACTGGAAAATCCTTTCATGTTATAAGTCAACATTTTAGCAGCCTACTGCCAAAGGTAAGTTCTAAGAGGGTGACAGTCTCCCTGTGAAAATGCTGATGACGTCACTTACAGAGCATGGTCCTACATTATTTCAAATCTTGAAACAGGAAAAATATACTCAGTGAGTTCTCTGTATCTTAAGAGAGACAGATATTTTTGCAGAGGATACTATTGTCTCGTTTCCTACTAGGTTTGAAATAAATAAACTTGACTAGTCAATTTTCCACCATCTATACGATTGAAGTATCAGTGATTTCTTGAATTATAAAGATGATTTTGGGTGGCTGTCACTATATTGCCATGGTAAGGAGTCTCAAAGTATAGTGGAAATCCTGCAATTATACAGGAAGGCAGACCAAGAATAAGGGAATGCCATTCGTTTTTTGATAGATGACCTCAGTACTCAAGAGGGTTGAACTTAAAGCTTTAGTGGGGGGAGGTAAGTTTTAGATACATAGTTATCCCTCAAGATAACTATGTATCTTGCTGTTTTGCAGTTCAAGGTTCCATTAAGCTCAAGATTTTTCAGGACCACATTCCCCATGACAGCTGAGGTAAATTCCTGTAGGTCATCATTTTCATAAAATATTTTTTGTTAAGTAATTATCTTTACTGATTTTTGTTTTTCACTGATCATTTATCTGATGACCAGAACCTCAATGTTTGTCTTAAAATCCAAAGGAAGGCTCATTGGAAACTTTTTTTTTTCTTCATCATAAGTGTCATGATGCAGTCAACATTCTGAGTGTTATTAATTATTTCATGTACAACCAGCTGACTTGATTTAAAAAAAAAAATCTCCATTTTGGGTTCCTTACAGATACTGATCAATGGGACCATCTTTGCAAGAATGTCTCCCGGGCAGAAGTCCAGTCTGGTGGAAGAATTTCAGAAACTGGAGTAGGTTCTTTGCCAGTGCAGGTGGCATGAACTGCATGGAGGCATAACAGTCAGGGGGAGTGGAAGAGGTACAGGGAGTCACTCGGTTTGGCAAGGGCACTGGTCCTTAGTCTGGCTGCATGAGATAATCACTTAGGAGCTTTGGAAAAATAGCAATACCAAGGGATCTCACCATTCAGAGATCCTGATTCAGTTGTTTATACAGGGCTTGAAAAATCAGTATTGTTTTTTCACATAAGTCAATTTTGCATTCAATATTGAGAATCACTGGACTAGAACCTAAGGGGCCTGAAAGAGTATGGGGAGAAATACGAATGGAAAGCTGGCTTGAGCTCAGCTCCTGGGGGGACAATGAGTATTTAGACTTTATTTGCATATGCTCTCATCACAATGATGATATAGGGACATTCATATGAGATTCATGTAACACTAAAAAGACTAAAATATTTGTGTGCCAAAGCATTTTTCCATCCTAAATCAGAAAAATTCTTCTCTCCTAACACAAAGGGTCTCCATTCCTAGACAGAATGGGCAGTCCAAATGAAGTGCCTGTCATTCGGGACCCTTTGTTTCCTGTTAATAGAACCCCACAGAGTACCAGAGCCTTTCTCCACTTTGGTCCCCATGTCACAACAACATGACTCCAACTCCTACTCGTTTCTACTCTGCCATCCTATTCATTTGATTCCATTATCAGGCTAGCTTCTCAGTTCAGAAAGCCCTGTCTTTTCAACATGACTGAAACCTAGAGAGTCAACGAGTTACTTCCATATGGCAGTGTGGAAGAAAAATATAGCATGTTCTGTGAATGCTGTCAGAATGCTCATAATTTAAAAAGCTGGCTATCCCTAATCCTTGTCAATGATTCAAGAGAGTATTCACCCAGCCTCAGAAAGCCATTCTGAAACAGGGATGTGTTTTCTTTCTTCAACTTCTAGGCCTGACATTACATACTTGAGTTGAGTGACTGTTGACAGGGTGGATTTCCTCTCATGCTAGTATTAACAGCACAAACAACTATGACTTGTTATCATTTTAGACTTTGTACTTTCCCATACAGCACCTCATTTAATACTCATAGCCCTTTATAGGCAAAATAATAATAATGATGGGAATAATAATAGTGAAAATGGTAAGATGACCAGGTCAAAATCTAGATTTGGTTTCAAATCCTGTGCGCTCTCTGCCATGCCATGCTTACATCATAGAATTGTGAGTGCCTCTGTCTGACAGCTGAGAAAGCTCTCCCTGCGCAGTGATGTGCAGTGTCTACATGAAACACTTACAGTAAAGGAATCATGTTCTGAATCTCTAAATCCATTGTATAAACTGCTGAATCACACTGTTTTCAGTCAAACTAGACTCTTAGGAAATTTCCCTTAAATAATGGTTTGAACCCTGAGTAGTGATGGTTACTTTTTTTTTTTTTTTTTTGATTAGAGAAATTAGCAGATAGCTTTGATCTCATCTACAATTAATGTGTTTCCCTCTTAGTTACTTTGTAGGTATGTGTGGTGACGGAGCCAATGACTGTGGGGTAAGTAGCTGCCAGTGTGTGTGGCCATAATCTCACATTCAGTTATACTCAAGCCCTTTAGAGGTAGTACTCCTGGCGTATATATCATTTCCATTCCTCTTGATGGATAAACTGCTGCATTGGGAGGCTTTTGACCAAAGTCACACGTTGATTCAATGGTTAGTTTAGGCTACATGGGGTAGAATTTGGTTCTAGGGTTCTCATTTCTTTGGTTAGGTATCCTAATACCATCTTTTATGTTCCAGGCAGGGTTAAGTCTCTTGGTTAGAGTTTGGGCACACAAAGCACCTTGTGGCCAGTTTAACTGGCCTTTTCTTATGAGGCTTTAGTAGAGACATATGTGAGTCTATGTGGGAAGTAAGCTGATTCTTTGCTTTCAGGCTCTGAAAATGGCTCATGTGGGCATCTCTTTATCAGAGCAGGAGGCATCTGTGGCCTCACCTTTCACTTCCAAAACTCCAAACATTGAGTGCGTACCTCACCTTATCAAGTAAGTAGGCACTTCCTCAAACATTGCTTTCTCTCTCTTGACTTCCGGTACAAATCACATTGTTCTGCCTGGGAAAGACGAGAGAAACTTGGTGTCCCTGGGTGGGGAGGGTGCTTTGTAGAAGAATGCAGCCAAGCATCCTACTTCCAAATGGGTTTTCCAGAAGTTAAAAGTAACATTGGGACAGCAGTGGCATTTCCAGCGAATTCACTGATGAGGTTAATTTTAGAAGATTGGAATCTGGAACTTGTTATGGCTTTGAAAGTGTCAGTCATCCTCATTTTTCAAATGTATCTATCTCCTTTCAATCTTTATTTGAAAAATAATGTTTTGAAAATCTTTATTGGCTTTTGCTGCTCTCACTAAAATTTGCTTTGATGCTCTCCCTGCCACCCTGCCAAAAATGTACTTCTGCTCCATTATATTTGAACGCTAGAGATAGTGAGCATGGTGGCTGCTCTTGATTATTGTAACTGACATGTGTTTCTAGTTTTAAAATGCTATAATGCCTACCATCTCACACTTCAAAACAGCCTGGAGATGCAGGAATGGCTATTTTTTTTTTTTAACAAATAAAAAAATTGAAGTTCAGAAAATTTAACTGATGTACCCAAGCTCATACAACCATATGAGGTTAGACATTATTTTAGAATTAATTTTATTCAAGTGTATTTTATCTACAGATATACTATTTCCACCGCATGAAAATAATAATTTGGCTAGGTCCTCCAAATTTTTTATTTATTCATGCATTTGACAAATATTTAGTGAGTAGGCATTTAGTGCCAGAAACTAAGGGAGATAAAGATGATACTTACTGATTTTGATAGGTGCTGTCCAGGAAATAAAAAGGGTAAAGGGAATAAGATGGCTATATAGGTGGAAGCAGCTGCTTCAGATGGGGTGGTACGGGAAAACCTCCCTTAGGAGAACCTCTCTTTATTGCTTAGAGAACATCTCTAAGCGATAAGGAGAAACTACCTCTGGGCAGAGAACCTTAGAGAACCTCTCTAAGCGATAAAGAGAAACTATGTCTGGGCAGAGGAAATGTCATGGCAAAACTCTGATACAGAAGAAAACCTGGTTTGAGGATCAGGTTTTAACACCCCAGGACACCATAATGGGCATGAGTTTAAACTTAAAGAAGTATGATCTAGGCTGGGTGTGGTGGCTGATGCCTGTAATCCCAGCACTTTGGGAGGCCGAGGTGGGTGCATCACTTGATGTCAGGAGTTCGAGACCAACCTGGCCAACATGGTGAAATCCAGTCTCTACTAAACATACAAAAAAATTTAGTTAGACCTGGTGGCGCATGCCTGTGGTCCCAGCTACTCAGGAGGCTGAGGCAGGAGAATCACTTGAACCTTGGAGGCGGAGGTTGCAGTGAGCTGAGATCATGCCACTACACTCCAGCCTGGGTGACTGAGCAAGACCCTGTTGGAAAAAAAAAAAAGTATAATTTAAATTTAAAAAGTGTAACTTAAACTCTATTTTTCCCCAAATGAAATAGAAGTTAAAAGTGACATTTCATATGTCATCTATTTCATGCTTTAAATGTGTACTATTTACTCAATCAATCAACAATAACAGAGACGAAAATGCTCATCCTTTCCAGCCCATTTCAATTTGATGTATGACTAATTTGAGTGTGTATATTGTTTCGGTCCAGTTTTAGAAAAAGTTGGGACTGCCAAAATGAAATTTGAATCAAATGTTTGCCAAGCTCCTGAAGCTCCTGTATGAAAATAACCCCTGAATCTGCAATTTTATTTAAATCCATTAGTTCACAGATGAAGAAACTGAGACAAGGGAAATGATCTTCTGCATCACATTAGTGAGTAGGTAGAAGATCTGGCACTAGCTCCACTGAGTTTAGGAGTTAAAACATTGCCTACTGAAAGGACAAGAGCAACTGTAAATCTGGACTCCATCACCAGTTCAAGGACCTTGGACCTTGGCCTGGAATTGGCCTTCTTGAAAATTGGGTTGTTTAGTTTACTGACAGCCTGCATCCATGAGCTCAGGGATGTCCATTTTCAGACAAACAGTTGTATAATGACTTTGGATTTTTTTTCTCCTGAGCTTTGCTGAACAGCACAGAATGACTGACCTTATGTCTTTTCATTACTTTCACGTCTTTATCATCTGTTTTCTTACACAGGGAAGGACGTGCAGCTCTCGTTACCTCCTTTTGCATGTTTAAGTACATGGCTCTGTACAGCATGATTCAGTATGTTGGTGTTCTGCTGCTCTACTGGGTATGACTTGGGACTTAGCCTCGTGGTTAGTGTGAACTAAAACAAGTAGCAATGCACTCTCAATTTACAATGCGTCTCAAAGAAAGAGTACAAATAGGATATCTGCGCAACAATAGCCCCTCCAAAAATATCCTTAAGAATTTTTTAAGTAAATCAGAAATAGATTTGCACAGGAAAGGTTGCCGATGTCAATTCTCTGATATAGAAACCTTTTATCTAGTAATAGCTGAGGATCACAACTGAATATATTGCTTTTTCTCTTGCTGCTACTTTTACCTGATTGGACAAGGTCTTTATCTTCTTAATTCCAATGTGGCTCTACCCTAGTCTACCACTCAATAAAGAAATGGTTCTCTGCATCAGGGTGCTGCTAAATGCTTCATTTAGCATGAAAAAAAGACCTGATTATTAATTTATGCCCATTTCAGTGGTGTCAATACTCCTACCAAAACCAGTTTCAAGCTGTCTGTCCATTGTCACTGAACATGAAGTGGGGAAAGATGTACAGTAGCATATGATTCTACTTGCCCCATATAGATACAAAAGTTGTAAATAACCTCAAGGGCACAGAATACAGTAAAATGTAGAAAAATATTTAGAAAGTGCTGAGCTTTGAGTAGTTATTAACTTTGGCTTTAGTATAATTTATTTAATGGTACGCTTGTATAATTTAAGTTTTTATATCGGCTTTATTTAACAACCGGCTCACAACATCTCTGAAAATTTAGCAATTGACTTTTAAGTGTTAGTATAAGCCAGCATGCCACTGGTTCCCTGAATATAGGGATGTGAAAACTGGCATATCGTACCACAAAAAATACATAGGTCTTGTGATCACTTTTGTTATTTAACAAGATATAAGAGGAGAAAAAAAATGCCCATCATCTGTGAACTCAACATGTGAGATTATCCGATTAACCAACACCAATAAAAGAAATTTCATCTGGATATCTGTGTGGCAGATATCCAGATTCATCTTTATATACTGCCTTCTTTTTCCTGGGTTAAAGGTTTTAGTCCTATTGCTTTCAGATATATATATCTGAAATATATATATCAGTGAGTAGGAAAAGATATATATACCTTTTCCTACTCACTGATAAACGGGCTAGAGAAGGATAGGCTATTTATAGAAATTGGGCTCTATTTTAGAATTCCCAAATTATTCTCAAAGGTAGAATTAAACATTGAACATTATCTCCTTTTCACTAAGGGGTGGGGAGCAAGAAAGTGAGTTTCTTAAAATCAGTAAGACCTGAACACTTTTTCCTCAAGAGTATTAAGATGCTTTGCTAGGATTTTCTAACATTTTGTCTAAAAACATTCAAGAATGCAAATAGTGGGTTTACTTATTCTTATTTTCCATCAGTAAAATTTATGTAAGGTTACCACACATTTGTCACTTGGGGGTGTATTCTTTTATTGTGTGAGATGAAATCCTGTTTTTTCTGTTAACAAGTAGAAAAGAGAGCAGAGATGAATCTGGTAGGGGAAGACGTCCTCCTCAGCAAAGTAATACGGATGCACAAACAATCTCACCCTGAAAGTACATGATGATAGGCTTCCTAGATAGAGAGGGTTTCACAGGTTTGGCTTTGATTACTTCCACCAACACCATCACTCACCAACTCAACCAGGCCCTGACCACAGCATCTCCACAGTAATTTACTTGAAGAACCCTGTGTCGCAGTGAGAAAATAAATGTAATCAGCATCTAATTTCATCCCGAAGGTCACAACTTTTTTGATCTGCTTTCTTTTCATTTTCAGGAGACAAACAGCCTTTCAAATTACCAGTTTCTGTTCCAGGATCTGGCCATTACAACTCTTATTGGTGTAACAAGTAAGACATTTTAAAACTTGCTTACCAGAGGTGCTACCCTCAGCTGGCCTCCCTCTGCCTTGGAAAACTTTGTCTACCGTGAGGAACAGCAGCTGCAACAGCAGCAGTGATGTGTAACTTATTCCCAAATATATACACAGAGAGGAAATAGAATCCTCATTTTTGAATATTGCAAGAAAGTATTAGCAAAAGAAAAGCTTGCTCGTTATTTTGCTGTTTTCTGCAAAATTTGGAACTTCTATAAATGGTCACTAAACACTTAAAATGAAAAAAGCAGCTTGAAAATCAGGAACACTAACTTCAGAATGCTTTTAGATATACTTATAGTTAAAATGTGCCCAATTTGTAGAAGCCAAATGGCTTTTACATTTCTCATATCTAAATCTTAGCCCCTCAGGATTTAGAATGAAGCTTAAAGGTAATCTTGCCATTGTATCTCTCTTACCCTCCACCTTCTAATGAATATACAGATTGTCTCCCTAATTTCCCTGCAATGGAAAATTTTTTTATTTATGACTTTATTCTTTTTTAGGGCTGACTTAGATTCACAACAAAAATGAGAGGAAGGTACAGAGATTTCCCACGTACTTCCTTCCCCGACACATGCATAGCCTCTGCTACTATCAACATTCCCCACAAAGTGGTATATTTGCTGTAACTGATGAACTTCCATTGATGAATGATTGAAGGTTTTGACATGTCTTTGTTGTTTTGCTTTGGTCTTATTAGCTCAGCTAAAGGAAAATCCCAACCAACATTCATGTTGGAACTAATTCAGTCATCAATTGCAATCATAGGTTGATTATGGACACAAGAGTTTGGCAAAACTCAAAGCAAGTATTTCGTGAGAAACAATTAATAATAACATCATTATTATCCAAAGTCCATAGCTTACATTACAGTTCATTCCTGGTCTTGCACATTTTATGGGTTTGAACATATGTACAATGACATATATCCATCATTATATTATCACACAGAGTATTTTCACTGCCCTAAAAATCCTCTTTGCTCTGCCTAGTCATCTTCCCATCTTCCCCAAAGCTCTTAGCAACCACTGTGATCTTTCACTGTCTCAGTAGCTTTGGCTTTTCTAGAATGTTATGTAGTTGGAATCATATATAGGCTTTTCAGATGGGCTTTTCTTCACTTAGTAACATGCATTTAAGGTTCCACTATGTCTTCTCATAGTTTGATAGTTCATTCGTTTTTAGTGCTAAACAATACTCCATTGTCTGGATGTACCACAGTTTATTTATTTATTTGCCTACTGAAGGATATCTTGGTTGCTTCCTAGTTTGGGCAACTGTAAATAAAGCTGCTATAAACATCCATGTGCAGATTTTTGAGTGTAAGTAAGTTTTCGTTTCCACTGGGTAAAGGATTATGTAGTAAGAATAAGTTTTGTTTTGTAAGAAACTGCTAAACTGTCTTTCCAAACAGCTATACTAGTTTGCATTTCCACTACCAATGATTTCGAGTCCTTCCACTACCAATGATTTCGAGTTGCTTCACATACTCACCAGCATTTAGTTTTGTTAGTGCTCTGGATCTTGCCTATTCTAATAGGTTTGTAGTAGTTCCATTGATGCTTTTACTCCTATTTCCTCCAACCTTCTCAAGGATTTTATTCCTTTAATAATGTATTTCTCCATTATTATCAACCTTTCTCTTGTTTACTAGATCATTCCCAATGATAGCATATAATACATTCTCTTATCTTCTTTCTTTTATAAATTCTTCTTTGATCTCAGCCCACTGCAACATCTGGCTCCCAGGTTCTAGTGATTCTTATGTCTCAGCCTCCCGAGTACATGGAATTACAGGTGCACACCACCACGCCTGGCTAATTTTTGTATTTTTGGTAGAGACAGGGTTTCGCTATGTTGGACAGGCTGGTCTCGAACTCCCAACCTTGAATCTACTGCTAGCGACTGCCTCCTGTATTCTTAAACTTCCCGAACAGTTGTGTATACCCACTTTCTTCATTCTCATCCCTAATTCTATTACCATTCCATTTCCATTAGCCAGATTCTAACATCC